GAAGTTGACGCGAGAGATGGCATCTATGTTGCGTCGAGAGTCAGGTGTGTTGTAGATGATTTCGTACATCAACACGCCGGTGTCTGTCCGACGCTTTGATGCTGTGCGATCGCCTGAAAGTTGGCTGGTGGCTACCAAGAGCTTGGAGATCGTCGGAATTCCATACGTCTGCGGACGGCTTAGCTCGAGGGCCTATTTCGGCATTGCTTCTCGCTTCTTGACTGACCTTAAAGAGTGCGAAAGACACGGATGTATAAAATGTTACGGGGAATTCCCTTTCCGAGAGCTCACGCATTATCGAAGCTGCGTCTGACAACGGCAATGAAGCCATTTCTTCTCTTGTCTTGTACTGGGAAAATCTCTGCTGGAACCCATCTCGACGACGGTATCGCAGGACCCGAACTGCGAGCATGTAGGCAGTGATTACCACAATTACTGGTAAAAAGTACATGGTGTATTTTTCCCTGGCTCGCAGGTGAAGAGTAAGAAGGATGGAAAAATGAATGTCTCGAAAGCGAAGATGACGGGACCGGATGGCCTTTGTTTTATTATTCCCTAGGCATCATGCGGTGCGACTTTGGAAAGGGGTTTCCACATTACCCCAGGCAATGCATTTGATTTAGCCCATCTTCTCGTTTCTTTGGCCCTGGTCCTCGGGTGACGCCCCAAAATCGTCTTCTTTTGACATCAACAATGCGAGTCGACTTACACGTGTGATGCGGGGGTGTCTCAGAGCCACCAATCATCAAATTGGGTAAAATTCATGCAGTAGTGCAGATCTGCCGGGACGGCGGCATTCTGTAGTGCGGTTGGTGCAAGCCAAGAGGAGTAGAACAGCACTTAATGGGGCTAAATCTGACAAGAAAAACCCGGAACCCGTCGGGCTTCCGGGTGCGACTATCAGACGAGGTTTGGACTGAATCGAGTTAGCTGGTCAGTTGGAGTCATACAATTCGACTCAGACCTGATCGGATTGGTAGGCTTTGAACTCCAGGTCGTCGGAAAGGGCATTTCCCAAGGATTCGGTTCACACACACGGGCCAGGCGCCATTCTTCTAGTACTTGGACCGTCCCCGGATGACAGCTGATAGCCTCCCCGAAAAGCAAGTTTCCTCAATTTGCCCAGTGACCAAGGTGATGAGCATTGCAGATAGAATCATTGTGATTTGTCGACCCATGCTCGAGGTCGCGACTAGGCTGCTTCGTTATCGGTTTGGTTCAAGAATGGAAGCTTCGGCAGGCTCTGGTCACCCTGAGCAATTGTACTTGTGAGGCACCTGTTTCCGCCGGTCGCGTAGAGGGTTTCAATTAAGCTTATGGGGCAAAATGCTGAAACTGGGAGCTAAGTTGGCAGATCTTCGATCTCGGTGATGACCCACCCATGTTGAAACTGTCAATGGGACTGATACTCCGACTTTAGATGTAGTCGGTGAATTCCCACATTAGCCTTCTTGACTCGACAGTATCTGTGATTCTGGGGTAGCATCTGTGCCACATTTGACTTAGTTTCGACGTCTCAACATCGAAGTTCCAAGGTATTCACTCCGTAGAATCAACCGCGGTATTCGGACACCAATGCACGATGCGATAGTCGGGAGATGTTGGTGAATAATGAGTACCAATCTGATGCTTTGCGTTGAGATCATAGCAGTCTACCATATTTCGACGCACTGGTTTGGCGGCTTTGATCTACGAGACAAGGAGACCTCAACGATCAGCGTGCTGCCATGAAGGGCTCGTCGACGTAGGGTAACCGCCTAAAATAGCAGCAGGCACACCCTGCCAACTTTACCGGAGTTGCACCTCAAATTTATGTTGATCTATAGAACATACGTAAACCGAATTTCGAAAATTGAGCTTTTTCAGTCATCCATACCGGGCTCAAGAAATGGACATCCGCTACGTGACCCCGCCAGCTCGATGTTGAGCCTTGAAGCGGATGGCGACATGTCATATGCCAACAGCCAAATTTACCGACGTTTCTTATACTCAGCTTTCGCAATCCTGGATAAACTGACTCATTATGTGTACTCTTATTCAAGCTGTCGAACGTGAATGCAGATTCCATGAAAAGGTGTCGTACGATGTCGGGACTACCCGCCCCGTAAACGTTGTTGGTATCAACATATGGCCTCGGCAACATTAACAATATACTCGACCGCATTGCCGTTGCCACTCACATATTATCGGTCTCGAGCTCGAAGTGTCGGATAACTAATTCGAGTAATCATACTATCTTACGTTGTCTCAAAATGTTGAGAGTTAGTATGCATTGCCCCTTGTTGACTTTGAGAAAACGTAAATTTAAGAAGAGTGAGATACCTCGAAATGTGTGGTATTTCGAAAGCAATAACTTCTCTTCGTAAGATACCACAAGTCTGCTCCTTGGCAACTGATGAGATTCCGCGGGAAAAAGGCACTTTACTTAAGTACTTCTGAGCGAGGTCTAATGTCTGCCTTCTTTACGTCGATGTTTGCAAAGTTCCAGGGTGTTTTGAGATCTCGATCTTAAGTGTTTAGACATACTGAGTCTAGTTTGGTTCTTAATTATGAAAAACCTGGCCGACCGAGTCTACGAAAGTGGCGACTAGCACGACTGCCGGCTGGCCTTTTGCTCCAAAATGATACATAAGCACGTTAAGACAAGTGCTTGACTTTTAGACTGGTTTAAATGATAGATTCAGAGCCTATGGTGAACATTTCTAGCCTCTCACGGTCCCATTTCGCTGTCGGGATACCAATCAAAAGCGACGCTTGTGCGCTGATAGTTTCTTCCATTTCCTATTAATAGGGTAAAAATAACAGTGATCAATACAAAATTAATTAGAAAATACAGCCTTTTAGGATTATGACGACATGTTGGCTACCTTTTTGGTGGTCTGAGCCTTGGCAGTGCTCCTGCGCAAATAGTCCAGGTAGAGTAAAGTCGGATCATGTTTAGACGATCGCATCCTGCGATGAACTCACAATTCATAATTACGCCTAAGATCAATCGTGAAAAGGAACCGACTATTACCCCATGGCAAGTCTAAAGGCCTATCTCAAGATGGTAGTTGAAGACATTGATCAAATCTCATGTCTACGCGTGATCAGTTATTACCCCACAAGACTGCCGCCGCTCTCCCTAAATGCTACCACGAATGCTGCGAATGTTATCTTTTTTAGTGATGCTGAATTTACAAGAGATGGTGCTATCATTCCGCTCTAATAGCCCCTGCATCCTTTCACATAATTGATTTCGCTGTTGTGGTGACCGCTGTAGCGATCGGTGCACTATGTCTTTGTCCTTCTCATTCTCATACACAGGTAAATACCTAGCTACGGAAATCTCAAGGATGTAAGCCAATATGATCATGCAAGATGATGAAAGTCTGAGCATCTCAATTGTCTCCATCTTGACCTCAGATCAGTAACATTATTTCCAACTTTGGTCTAACGCAATACGATAGTAGTCCAGGGAGTGTACCTGTAGCGTTCTCAGAAGGCTCAATGATGAAATATTGCTCAAGTGAAGAGAGAGAGAGCATCCGTATTACATCAAATGTGAAGAAGGAACAAACGCTGGCGAAAAGTCCGAATTAAAGGTCGCATGGGCTCGGGCATTATTCCGAATGTGGGCTCATCAATCACCGTTCTGGACCTTCAGCTGCCCATCTTCTACACTGGTCTCGAGAAACAGCGGATTACTGCAGCATCAAATTGCATGGTTCAAGTTTGGCAGTGTTCATTGCGGAACTACTTGAAGACTTGTGCGTCCAGGGGTGGGTAACATGTTCATGTTACCTATAATCATTCGTGAGACAACTCAATACCTCGGTTGACCGCAACTCAATGGTCAACCCTCTCCTGATCAATCCGCTCAAAATCTCGCAATCCCTTTACATCTTCTGCATGCCTTGACACCGGATTTTTAGATTAGATGATTGCTCATGTGTCGCACTTGAAAACAAAGCTGCAAGGATTGTGAGAGATAGACTCAATAACTCTTGTAGTTGGAGAACAATTTGTAGTAAAGCTGATGACCGTAATGGAAACTTACTTATAAACTTGCCACATATTTACCAAGACATTGATGAGCTTGTATGTCCAGTTACAACGCGAGGGGGACACGGTCCGTCAGTCCGCACACCTACGCAAAGCCGCATAGCCTCACCGAGATTTACGAGTCATTTGTTCGGAAAGGTGGAATGGGAAGGGCGAGCCGCCGCCCTCCTCTCAGCCCCCTCCTAATGCCCGCGTTCCCGACTGCCTGCCGCCAGTAGCACTGGCCCCATTTTGACAAAGGTCAAGAACCCCGTTAGCGTGAAAGAGACCCGGTGTTCCAACCCGCGTTATATCCCCCACGAATCCACACATATCAAAACTGGAAACTTTGGGGGGGCGGGGGGGGGGGGGGGGGAGGGGGGGGGGGGGGTGAGGAGGGGGGTTTTTGGGCACCCGTGGGGTGTTTGTAAGCGTGGCGGGGGGGGCGGTTACTGCGCTCTTTTCCCCCCACCCCCGGTTGGAAGAGAGAGGGGGGTGTGGGGGGGTTGGTGGGGGGGGGGGGGGGGGGGGGGGGGCAAGGGCAGCGTGGTGTGAGAAGCGGAGTTTCTCGCAACCGCTTGAGTCTTGACAAGTCGTGTCTGGGGCCTGATCATCAGCGTCATTGGCCCACTACCGCGCTTGAAGTAACAGGGAGCTATGCGGGGGTTTCTCTCCGCAAGTAACGTGGGCATTGGTACATCAGTAACATCGGACGACCTAGCAGGCTTGCATTAGCCATTGAGCCATGTTGATTCCTCCCGAAGTTCACGCGGATGCTACCATTCCCCGGCCATCAAAGACCGAGTCGAGCAATATCTGTTACTTTGAACGCCAAGGAAGAAAGGCAACCCCATGGGACACGCTATGGATCCCAGACAAACGATATATAGCAACGACATGTCCCGTCCATCTGGTAGAACTTCTGCTTGAGACATCACTATCTTTACCTCTCTCTCTCAAACGTCATTTCTTCAATAATGGGCCACGCAAAAGAAGCAAACGCCAAAGCCGTCGGCGCCGAACTGGCGGCCGTCCTACCTGACATTGGCCCCTGGTACAAGCAGACTCACATCCTCCGCCTTAACCTCTGCATCGCCTCCCTCATCATGTGTGCCTCCACGAACGGGTACGATGGCTCCATGATGAACGGCCTCCTTGCGCTACCCCAGTGGCATGCCTTCATGAAGCAACCAACAGGCGCCTGGCTAGGCTTCGTCAACGCCGCCTACTCCCTCGGCAACGTCCTCGTTTACCCCGCCGCCGCGTGGGTCTGCAATAAGTACGGCCGCAAGATGGGCATCTACATCTCGTGGGTCTGTCTGGGCACCGGATCCATCCTGCAGACTGCAGCACCAAACGACACCGCCTTCGTCTGCGCTCGCTTCCTCATCGGCTGTGCTTCTGGATTCTTCCTCTCGGCGCCTCTGTTAATCACGGAAAACGCCTATCCGACGCACCGCGGGATGGTTTCTGCTTTGTACAACTGTGGCTGGTACTTTGGTGCGGTGGTGGCCGCCTGGGCGACGTACGGCACGAGAAATCTCGACCACTGGGCGTGGAGACTGCCCTCGCTGTTGCAAGTGACCCTGCCCGTGCTCTCGATCCCCGGTCTGCTCTTCATCGGGGAGTCTCCTAGGTGGCTTGTCTCAGTAGACCGAACCGACGAAGCGAGGGCAATTATTGCTCGAAACCACGCCGGTGGCGACACCCACTCACCTCTCGTCAACTTTGAGATGATGGAAATCGAAGACACTATCCGAGCGGAGAAGGAAGCTCATTCGGAGACAAAGTGGTCCGATCTCTGGGCCACTCCCGGAAACCGACACCGACTCTTCATTTCCGTCAGCTTGGGCGTATTTGCACAATGGGTCAGTAGATCGAAATCACCTATCAGGATGTTATACTTATTTGACTCTAGTGCGGTGTTGGCGTCGTCAGCTACTATCTAGCCATGGTGCTTGTAAGTGAAACCATCCACCATACTTGACCCCTTGCAAAGTGGAACCAAGCTCTGACATATGGCATTCTAGTCCTCTGTCGGCATTACCTCTGTCGACGACCAAACGCTCATTTCAGCTTGCATCCAAATCTGGAATCTGATATGCGCCTCCACTGCTGCCATCATGGTTGACAGAGCTGGCCGGCGAGGACTGTTCCTTGCTTCGGTCAGTCAAGACACATACCAAGATCCAGCAATAACCACTGACAGGAAGATAGGGAACCATCATGTTGATCTCCTTCTCCATTGTCACCGGCCTCTCCGGCAGCTTCGCCAACACCGGCAACGCCCCAACCGGCACAGCAGTAATCCCCTTCCTCTTCATGTAAGATCCCTCCATCCCCAGTGATCACTAGTCCCAAGGACGAGAAAGGAGACACAACCAACTAAACATTCTCACAGCTTCTACCTCGGCTACGACATCGCCCTGACCCCGCTCATGGTATCCTACCCTGTCGAGATCTGGCCCTACCGCCTGCGCGCCAAGGGCCTTACGGTAGCTCTCATGGTGAGCATCGGCTGCGTCTTTTTCAACACTTTCGTCAACCCTGTTGCTCTCGAGGCCATTGAATGGAAGTACTACTTTGTCTTCCTCGCCGTTCTCGTCATCATGCTCATCAGCGTCTGGTTCTACTACCCCGAGACGAGGGGCCGGACGCTAGAGAACATGGCTTACATCTTTGATGGCGAGTCTGCTGAGGTGGGCACTGGCAATGCCTCGAGCGCGCTTAAGGAGGCGGAGGCTTCTCATGTGGAGGTCACGCACAAGAGTTAGAAGGTGGAGACTGGGCGCTGCCGCATGCAAAAGTCTAGATTCATATTGGTCTGTAGACAAGAGAGGAAAGTCAGGCGTAAGATGAGATACGTATACCTCATAGTACCAATCGATCATTATTGCCATTTTGCCAATGCAAGATACCGGGTCCTTCAGAGTACTTGCTGGGTTTTTTAACTTAGCCGGGGTGGTTGACCGGGGAGAATTCCATACCGGCGGGTTCGTCCCTCAACGCAGAAAACGCAGTCTGGTATCATATCGAACATACGGTTCAATCTGTCCCAGCTCGAAGCCGCCGAGAAACCATTCCCACATTATCTCCAACCCCCACAGACGGAATACCTTTTCTCTCAAATCTACTAGTCACTTGACTCCCTTCTCGCAGCAGTCCTCATCTCAAGTCACCCACAGCCCCTATTAACGAGGATCTCCGCTCCCCCAAAAGTCCATTCCCAGCCTCACCCCTGTCCAACTCCATAACGGCAAGCCAGCTACTAATTAACGCCCATTGGACCACTTCTCCCCCTTCAGCTACCGGGATGGGTAACAATCCGGCGGCTCTTAGCTTCGGCATCCAACGCGGTGACCGCCCGCGCAAATTCCGGAACCGAGGGCAGTCAGTCTCACGCTCACACAGACAACAAGCCACCAAGCGCGACACATTGTCCGATACTCCCCGCGCTGAGTTTATGCTAGCACGCCGACACTCCCCGGACCCGAGCTAAGCTTATCGAAAAATCTCCCAATACGTGTGTTCTCCTGAGCCATGATCGGATTGACGGGCAGAAAAGATAACCGAGTCCTGCCAGAATTTTGGTCGAAGGTGAGGCTCTGTGACTTCGGTGAGAGAGAAATCAGCCTGCGAAACGCGGAGACTGCCAAGATCTCACCCATGTTCATAGAGTCCTGCTTCCGCGACACGCCAAGGCTCCTCGTAAGGCAGCTGTACGCGCCTTTTGTGCATGTTCAAAATGGTCTCGTCTCCTAGTTGTAGGCGAAAATGATACCCGGCGGCGCTATACTCGGCCTTGGTATAGGAATAGAGGGGAAATTGCGGTTCATAGACTCAGTAGGCAGGCTGGGCACGTATCCTGCAAGATCTTACTTTACACCAGTGAGAACAATTGCTTCCGTTCAATCATCTCTGGAATCTGCATACCGCGGAAGCCGTGAAGGTTTCTAGGAGGAAACTATCCAGTCGCAAAGAAATTATTCATCTGACAGACTAAGTAGTTCAACGAGGCCAAAAAACATCGTTCATATTGAGCGACTCATCATCATCATCCTCCTCCGAATCATCCACAGCATCGACCCGCCTGAACAGCTTCAACACCCCCTTGTTCCCACACGCAGCCGCGACATTGACCGCCGTCTTCCTGCTCTTGTCCTCCAACAAAGGATCCAATCCCCTCGCCGTCAGAGTCTTGAATCGAAGAACGTGGCCCTCCGCCGCAACGTGTAATAAGCTCCGTCCATCGTCATCTACCGCCCCAAAGTCCGCGCACGCCGCCTCGAACGCTCCGATCCCGCCCTCTTCGTCGTACAATTGCGGGTCACGATTGAACGTGTAGACTTCGTGCAGCTCTTTCTCGAACCCCGCGTAGTACCAGAATAGCGGCGTCTCGCCCTTCAAATTGCGAGCGTTGACGTCGCATCCGCGCTCGACGAGCGCGTTAAACAGCGGTCGCATAGATGAGACCCAAAGCATGCGAGAGAGAACGTGCAGAACAGTGTTGCCTTCGTTGTCAGGGATGAGGGGGTCCGCTCCGGCTCTGAGAAGTGCGTCCGCGGCTGTCGTCCTCTTTTCGTACAGAGCTCGGTGGATAGCCAGGTACAGCGGTGTCTTCCCTTCATTGTCCCTTTGATCGATAATCGATGGATGCTTCTCTATCGTGTAGGTGAGTGACTTTTCGATGATTGGTGTCTCGTAAATATGCTTTGAAGGAGGGCTCAGCATGTGGTGAAGTACGTTTTGCCTGTAGGTGTCTCGCGCTTCCACATCCGCGCCAAGGGAGACGAGATGGTCGAAGACCGATACCTCTTTCGATGTCTGGGGGTTCCATGGATCTCCTGGTAGTAAGTCCAAGGGCACATCGGGACCCCGTTTAGAGGAGCAAGCAGCATGGAGAAGAGTTCGACCACTACCGTCACGATGGTTTGCGTCGATCGCCGGCAGCTTCAAGAAAGGATGCACGATGTGCCCATCAGCTAAGAGCTGATGTAGAACGACACAGTCCTCATGGAGGTGCGGCTCGAAAGAGTATTCTGGGTCACCCACAGCGTCATAACTATCGGGCGCTTCGTCAAACATGTACAAACCTTTAGCTTGCAGCCGGGAGTAAATCTTTTGATGGTAGCAGTCTTTCCCAGAGCATCTTGAAAAATTGGACAGTGGGTCGGCTCCGTGGGACAAGAGGACTTCGATCAAGCTAAGAGCTGAGGAGTGAAGCTTGGTTCTCTCCTTCTGGTCATAAGTCGTGTTACCAGACTTCGCCGCAACGCGATGTAAGGGGTACCACTCGGCGTCTGGGAGCTTGCTCAGGTTCCACCGACGGGTTTCGGGTTCCCATGGTTCTTTGTCGTTCTTCTCGACCCGGATGTTGGCATCACCCCCGGCAGACAAGAGAGCATCGAGCACTTCTGGTTGCATCTTGTTGATAGCACCAAAGATCGCATCCGCGTGAACTATCGCGCCATGCTTGACCAGAAAACGAGTTAGGTCGACATCGTGTCCTGCATAAGAAAGACAGCTTCGTCCAGCCTTGTCCACAGCGTTAACATCTGCTCCACTCAGGATCAACTGATGAGCGGCGTCCACGTGGAACAATCCGGCGCCATCTTCCGTGCCCAAGGCTACATGAAGCGGCGTCTGCCCTCTTGAGTTTCTAGTTTCGAGGTTTGCACCTTTACTGAGTAGGTACGGTAAAGCTTGAGCGACATGCCACCAGTGATAGCCTTTGGCAAGCGAGTGAAGGACACCATCTTCATTGAAATCAACGCCAAAGGTCTCTACAAGGAGACATACCATATCGAACACGGGAACCGCCTGATGGACTGCCTGAAACAGGAATGCTGGACGAGATTCTTTGCCGCTGCAGTCTGACACGTCGTGGGTCCATGTCTGATTGTGGCCAAATCCAGGTTGCTTTCCATCAACCGGAGCGGACCAAATGCCCTTTTCGACCTGTGCTTGCGACACGAGCAAGCCAATGCGATTGACAAGAGAAGTAAAACCTCCTCTGACGAGGATCCCCAAGTTGGTAAGCCCACTGATCTGGTGAGGAGCCAGAAAGTCCACGCCCAGGTTGAACAACTCTTCCATGACATCATACTCGCGACGTCTAAGTCGCGTGATGAACAAAGTCTCGTTTGCTTTGCCTGTCATGATGACTCCAGGCTCACGGAGTGCCTTGTATGTGGCTTCACGTCGGTGGGGGATGAGTTTCTCGTCAAAGGTAGGTAATCTCTGGCCAAGATGTGGTGCTGCCTGCGAGCTCTTAAACGAGTGCTTCTTGGTTGCACCTGATAGGCACTTGAGCGCATAGTCTCGACAGTCGGAAGTGGTTGTGTCGGTTAGGGAACCGTATGCTGTATCAGACGTGCCCCAGAGATTCTGCTGGGTCAGATCAGCGCCATGTTCCAAGACCATCTCTATAATCTCTTCGAGTCTTGCCGTGTCCTCGAGAGGGTCGAGTTTATCCCTGCCGCTGCGCCCATCACTCGAATACGGCCGTGTGGCATCTTCCTTCGTAAGACCCCCACACGCCCCATTCTCCTTGACATGAGGTGATTTCCTACGCCATAGTTCGAGCTCATCCTCGAATCCGGTAATTGCAGGCCGTAACCTCACCCCCTTGACATTGGCTCCTGCGGCGAGCAACATTGACACTATCTCCGGTCTCCCTGAGAGAGTAGCATAGTAGAGCGGTGTGCAGTCACACCCGTTTGTGTATCCGTTGGCTGTGGCGTTGACCCCAGGGATTGGGCTTGCACTCGCTGCTTTCAGCCAGGCTCCTCGCCACATCGGACTGTCAAGTGGTTTGTTCAAACCTCGATTGTGAAGGGCATCAAGAAGCATACCAACAATATTGCCCTGCCGACATCTAGCAGCAAGGTGAAGCGGCGTCAATCCTTCGTATGTCTCGATCGTAGGGTCCGCACCGGCGTCAAGCAGCTTCTTTGTGAGATCCTCTGACACAGTCACGGCTAGATGCAACGGGGCGATGCCATCCCTGTCGCGAACATCGATGTCTTTCGTAAGAGATATAATCAGTGAAAGGCAGGTCTCGTCCTTGTCGATGTTACCACTTTCGGCCTTAATACATAGTCGATGAAGTGGTGTTCGACCACGACTATTGGGTTGATCAACGTCAAGGCCCAAGTTGAGCAGCATCCTCAGCATATCGAGCATGTCCTTGGATCTGAATTCGGTATTGATTCGCCAGCATAATTCGTGAATCAAATTGTTGCCTTGGTAATCTGTGTCATGAACGTCCAGACCTAGACCCACGAGGAAATCCAAGGTGGAAGGACCAGGTTCCTGCCGACTGAAAGAAGCCCGAGGCCCATTCTGTGACTTGACTACCTCGTGTAGAAGGGACCTCCCCTCAAAGTCTCGAGTTTTCAATAAGGCACCCCTGTCTAGTAGCTTCATGATTGTGTCTTGCAGTTCAGTCTCTGAGCTGGAGGCCTTCCCTGAGACAGCCTGAAAGAGAATTGTTGCGCCATTCTTGTCTCTTGTATTGATATCCACGCCGGCTTGAATTACCACGTCCAACAAGTCGAAGACTCGTGAGTTCCGAGAGAACATGACGTCCAAGGGCGTTTGTCCAGATTTGTTTCTCAAAGTCAGGTCTGCGCCAGCGCGTAAGAGTGCTTCTATGACTTCGGGTTTTGCGCTGTAGGATTGCAAAGCAATGTGCAGAGGGCCATTGCCGGTATTATCAACGATGGTGCAGTCTGCGCCGTACTCGATGAGCTTGAGGGTCGTGTCTGTGTGG